TATTAGTTTGGAAGTTTGGAGATAATATATTTTTCATAATTTATTTATTTGTTTATTGTTGTTATTCAAATGGTTTGCCGCTTCGAAACGGCATCGACGTGTCGGTCGCGGGGTCGAGGGAAGTGCCCTTTGTGGGGTTTGGGGAAACGCCCTATCGGTCAAGTCACAGGGATCGTGGGGGGATCGGGGCCGTTACGGGGATCGACCTGCCTGGTCAGGTTGAGGGGGCAGCGCCCTTTGTGGGGGCTCGAGGGCAACGCCCCCAAAAGGAAATGTTATTTAAGAAAAAAAACTTGTATTCAAAACTATCGAGAAATTAAAGGCGAGTTACACGAAGACCCCTGACTATTTTTTAACTTAACACCATCTATTCCTATAGGTTTCTAAAATTCGAACTTAGCACCTAAAGTTCCAAACCCCTTGAAAAAAAATGTGTGGCGGTGTCTCCGTACCATGTCGGTCTCCGTGTGGGACGAAGATGGTGTCTCCATGATACGGATGCAACGAAGGCACGACGTATCTCCGTGCTACACGGATCGTGCTCCGTGGTGCCACGGAGTGCAATGCCTTTTGCGAGGTAAATTAAAATGACATGAATTTAGATTGTAACCTCAAAAGAAGGTGGTGAAATCAGGAAAGAAACGTATTCAAAGCACATAGTTTGAAGCAACAACTACATCAACCAAATTATTATTATTATTGAAGCAATGACCAAATCAGCAAAAAATTAAATAGTGATATATATAATTTTAGTAACAAAGTTAACATATCTAAAAATCAGCTAGGTCCTCAAACAAGCTATAATTGATAATTCAGCAAGGAATTCGGTTTTACCCTCGTGGGCGTGCTTGGATCTTTTGACAGCAGAAATAGTACCCAAATCCGGGAAAAAGGCCTTATAAATAGTGTCAAATGCTCCATGCACGACAATCCTGCTTGAATGAAATCCCACAATTTGGAAACTCCATCTTCTTCTTCTCATTCATGTAATCAATCCAAGCAGTAATCAACTTCCCACTCTACAAATTCACACTCTGCAGCATTGGCAGTCTTGATTGAGATAAGGCTGTTAATATCCAACCTAACATGGTTGTCATCAGGATCATTAAAGTGCAA